AATATGGCTTGGAACCTAAATAGAAAAGCCTAGGCATAGACTCAGGGACTTTTTAAGCCAAATTGTATTTTTCTCTGGATTATTTTCTAAGCTAGTATCAAGGCATAGCCAGAAAAGACTCTCAAGGTTACCCAGGACAAGTTTGTAAATAGAAAAACAAAAACAAAAAACCTATAGATTAAGAGAGATTCAAAAGATGAAAGTTGTGGAAATGCTGGTTGACTCTCTTCCTCTAAAGCCTATACAATACATGCAAAAGGGAAAATGTGCTAAAACCTCCACAGGAGTTAAATGTGTCTTGCTCATAGACTCTTGTGCTGCTGATTTGTCACCCTAGGCAACAAGATGAGCAGCACTAGTTTAATTGTCAAGTTAGAAAGAACAGTCTCTGATGAAGAACTATAAACCATCAAGAAGCCTTGTGGTTAGGAACTAAACATTATGCAATTGGATTCCCAGGGCCCTGTTTCTCTTGAGGCCTATTTGGGTTCAGAGCTGCATATTTGACAAAGTAATTTTTGCAGTTTTCAGGAGCCAGGACAGCTGTGAAAAGAGTGAGTTAGATGGGGTTTTGCCTCATGCACCAACCCAAAGCTTTGCCAACACCAATTTCTAAAACCTTTCCCACCACTGAAAGTACAAAGGGGAAATAGTTGTATGTGCATTTCACAAGTCTGAAAAAGCCTGGAAGCTTGGCACTTAGGTACTTCTCCTTGTTCCAACATGTACACTGAGTAGATTCAAAATTGGAATGGCTGGAGGTTAAATATGAGGCACTGATGTGTGTGTGTGTGTGTGTGTGTGTGTGTGTGTGTGTGTGTGTTTGTGTTGTTTTTGTTTTTTTACAGATTCTCATTTCTGTTCATAACTTCCCTAAGTTGTGTCTAAAATAAAACTGTTAACACCTATTCACTCTACAACATTAAGCCTTAGAGAGGAGTTTCAGATTTGCAAACTCCTTATACATGTCTTTAAAGATTTATAATACCACCTCATTTTCCACTCTCGATGGACTTAGAATTAGCAGTGCATGTTTTCAGAAATTCAAACACGTGAAAGTTCAGTGAGGAGTGAAGTTTCTAGGTCTGGTTATGTAATTTGTAAAGCCTAGCACAAAGTAAAAGTGTGCAACCCCTTGTTAAAATTATTGATATTTCATGGTGGGTATAGCAAAGCATTAAGACAAGCACAGATCCTTCTAATTATGGGGCTCTGTGCAACTCCATAGATGGCTCACTCATAAAGCCATCCCTGTTCTCTGTTTATAGAATCCAGAACACATTGGTGATTCTCAAATTCAAACTATCTCTTGATAGAAAACCTTATAGGTTTAATATTTATTAAACTATAGTCCCCTACATGATTATTACATTTCAAAATGCTGCAGGAAGAGAAATGTTTCTTAATGATGCAAAGAACCATTCAAAGACTAAATTAGTTTAGATGACAACCTCCTAAAAGCAGAGGAATTTACTTAATGAAATTTGATCAATCTTTTAAAAGGGTACTACTTCTGTGACCCCCATTGACCTTCCCTGACAAAGTCCAGGATCTATTTTGACCAAAATTAACAGCCCATCTTGGCTTTTTGCCACTTCACATTTATTCCCAGGACCAGTGCATGACTGTTGCTCTCCTCCCACACACTTGTGTCAAAGCATTCACTAGTTAATATTTATTTAAAAGAAAAACTTTCAAGATGAAAATTTTGGTGGGTTTTATTGGACTTGAATAGAATAGGGAGCTGTGTGGTCTCAGTCTCCTCTCAGAACTGCCACTACCATACAATGTAAAGTTTGACATATTTGTGGTACCTGAGTGGCTGATTGTACTTTCCTTTTGGTGAAATAGCAAAAGCCAAATAAAAAGGCTATAACATCTGATAGAATTTTGCCCAGGTCCAATACTGAATGTCTGAGTTGCTTTAGAAGAGAAGTGTTGGCTGTTTTATTTCTCTGGCCTTCAGTACCTGCTTCCTCCCATATATACACCATAATCTGAAGATCTTTCTTAGCAGTAAAGTACTTTATTTTATTAAGAGAAGCCTATTCAGCAATACCTTGTCAGTAGACTGGCATTTTCACTTTGTCTACACACAGAAACTGCTGTGACCAAAATCTGGGGAAAAATAAACAAGCACAGGTAGAAAATAATCATTACAGTAATTTTACATATACGTTTAGTTTTCAGATAATTGATTTAGTTATCATTTTCTATCCTGTTATTCTAATGCTGTGGAGGCCCTAGCTAGAAATCAGGGCCTCTGTAATTTCTGGACTCTGTAAATTGATTCTCAGCTTATTTTCCCCAGGGTTTCTGAGGGACTACACCCTCTCTCCTAAAAGGGTATTGGAAGGGGTCTACGCTTTTAATTCCACATAAAATATAACTATGGCCTGTTCAAATGTCCCTCTTTGCAGTAGCATTCTGACAGCAAGGAGCTGCAACAGTCATAAGCCAGCTTGGGCTTGGTTTAAGGCTCCAGTCGTGGGCTGAGAGTGGAATTGGGACCATCTCCAGTCAGCCCTATGGCTAGTTCCACCTCCTTAATCTGCTTCCTGGATGGATTGTAAATCATCAGGTCAAACCAGGCCACCTTAAGGATAGTGTCAAGGGAAAGGTGAGGGAGGGATGATTTTTTTTTTAGCTCCTGCATTTTAACTGTGTCTGACTGTCTGCCTTACCTTAAGCAAAACCAGTAGATTATTATTATTTTATTATTTGGGAAAATGGGGGGCCAGACGGGAGACCACCTCTATGGGGAGGACTACCCTTGCTCTGGCCTTTTGCCATTCCTTTTATTGAGATTCTGAGATAAAGACATCCTTTAGGCAGGAAATTTCAACAACAGAAAAATCAACAAGAATTTACATATGATTAACAAATGCTTCAACTACCACCCTCTCAACTAAACAATGAGTTGATAGCTCAGACCATTCAGAGCCATTAAGGTTGGCCAGCCCTTTTTACATTTGACTACTAGTGACTCAACCTAAAGAATGAGTTAATAGCTCTGACCATTCAAAGCCACTAAGTTTGGCCAGCTCTTTTTACATTTGACTACTAGTTTATTTTAAAATAATCTGTTTTCAGAAGACCCTCAGGCATGGATTAAGGTCCTTGGCTCTGGGGCATTGAAGACCTGCATTAATTTCAGAGTCATAAAAATCTAGATAGGCTACCAAAGTCTGACTAGTCAACTCAGTCCAGTTCAACATGCGCTTATGGAGCCGATCATTGTGTGACAGGCCATTACTAAAAAATAGGGGAGTAGAAAGTGGGCTGAAGCCTAATTCCTGCCTTAAGGAGTTCATAGCCTGCTTACAAAGCCAAAGGAGTAAACAGATGATTTCAATGGAATGTGACTAATGATATGCAATAGATGAGAACTCAATGTTTTAAATGCACTGAGAAGGGGCACCCAACCCAGCCCAGGGGCATCAGGAAAGACTTCATATAGGAGGGATCAACAGGTAAGATTCAAAGGAGTTAGTTAGGGAGAAAACAATGAGAATAAGTGTCAAGGAATGAACAACAAGAACCAAGGTAAAGAAGTTTCTAGTATTCATGCATATAAGCATAACCAATGGATGCAAAACTCTGGGGAGTGAGGGCATGTATGGGTGTGTGTGGGAGGGACAATAGTAAGATACATACACATATAATACGTTAATTAAAAAATGAGAAAAAAAATTTTTAAAAAGAAGTTTCTAACAATATTCTCTTCTCAGTGAACTGAAGAGTTAAGAATGAAATATGGTAGCACTCATACTTGGGTAAAAACTGCTGTTTGAATTTTAACCTTGCTATCTGACTTCTACCTTCGATTGCTTGCTTAAACAATAGGGTAGTTACAGGAGATTGACTCCCACTGACTCAGTAGCTTCAGGGGTAGAAACTGTAGATAACCTTTAGTTCTGCTTTTGTATTATGGGCAAGATAGGGCCACATCCAATGTCAAGCAGAGTGTGACTGGGAACCAACCCTGCAGGCTGTCCCCAGTCTTTAGAATTTAGTCTTTAGGATTTAGGAACAGACAACTGATTGGCCAGTTGTTTGTCCTGAGGGGCCAATCAGGGTTAGCCGAGGCAGTGACATCACCGACCTGAATAAAACTCCTGGACTGGGCGAATTTCGCTCTCTTCCGCCATGCTGCCGGCGTGAGTGGGACAGGGCCCATGCTAGCATGGAGATGGCTCTTTTGTTTATTGCATCGGACTCGGCTCCCTGGTGGTCCTTGGGGATCATGACTGGAATCCCCAGCCAGGACCATGAGGGACCCCCATTCCGAAGAGCCTGACTGGCCGCGGTAGGTGTGTGTTTGTCTGTGTTTTTGTGTGAGCGCTCTGGAGGGACTGCCCCTCCATCAGGGCTCTTACCTGGGTGTTTACCGGCTGCTGCGTCAGCCATGGTTTGAGTCCAGATTCGAATCTGTAATAAATTCTAGCATGCTTAATCAAATTGGCTCCGGTGGTCCATCTCTTGGGGACTCGCTTCGTAACAAAGAAAATAAAAAATTTAAATATAAGAGTTGAATTGGTGATAAATAAGAATGAAAAGGGAGGTGACTATAGAAGTAGTTATAGTGTGGATGAAAGGAGACACATGCAAACCTGACAAGCTCAAGGTAAGCCTGAATGGCAGTCTTGCAAACTCAGAGACCTAAAATAACCACAAAAGATGGTCTGAAAACTAAATACTTAACTACAAACAGGTTATAGTGGGTAGTCATGTCCTAGGCTGATATTTTCCCTGACAAAGATCAACTTATATCTTTACTGAGCCCATTTTCCCTTTTGCCTCTAAGATAACATATCTGTGAGATGTCTGGGTAAACTGTAACTTCCTTTTTACCCTGAACCCCTCAGGGCACAACCAATGGCACTGGGACATTCCCTCATTGTTATTGTTATCAAGTTAATTGTCAATTATTAATTATGTTAAAGTATCCTATATCCATCTATGTAAAAGAAGCACATGTCCATCATTTCACTTTTTACCCTATCCCAGAGGTTTCCCTGCTTTGCTTTATCCCACCTCCTTAGTCTGTCACCAATGAATCCCATGTAACTCACCTAAGTCCCTTTCCTTTGATTGCTATGTACAAATACAGATGTAATCCTCCATTCTCCTGAGCATTCTCATTCATTGAGGTTCTGCTTACAGGCATATGTTGACAGTTTGGCTGAAATAAATTCACAAAAATTCTTTACAGGTCTGAATTATTTTTTACATTAACAATGGGAATCTTAATGAATCTTGTCACATTAAGGAGTTTAGTGTATATCCTAAAGACAGTGGGAGATAGGAGTTTTATGTAGGGAAGATTCATCAAATGAAATGTCACTGGAGCCCTGCTGGTGTGGTTCAGTGGTTCAGCATCAACCTATGAGCCAGAAAGTTATGGTTCAATTCCCAGTCACGGCACATGCCTGGATTGTGGAATCCGTCCCCTGTGAGGTCATGCAGGAAGCAGCCAATCAATGGTTCTCACTCATCATTGATATTTCTGTCTCTCTCTTCCTCTCCCTTCCACTTGAAAATCAATAAAAATATATATTTTTTATTTTATTAATAAAAATATTTTTAAACAAGTGTCACTGGAGTGCAGTGAATGCATAAATGAATAAACAAATCTATGTCAAAACTTTAAAATGTGCAATGTCTTTCCAGAAATATACAGAATAAAGTCATAATTCATGGTTCAGTTCTCTTCAAGCTGTTCTAGCCTACACATCTATTCTTAGCTCACTCTGCTCTGTAGCCACATAAACTTTATTTTCTACCCATTTAAAGCTCATGCTATTCCCCATTACTAATTGGTTCCTTTCTCCTTTCTTTTTTGGTGAGTTCATGGTAATTATTTGTGAGAAAGGTCAAGTATTATTTTCTCTCAGATGTCTTTCCTGACCTACAGTTACTCTTTCCTGTCTCTCCATGGCACCCTGTTCATGCCTTATAATTTTTATCAAATAGTGTTGTAACATCCATTTCGCTGAATATTCATCACTTGGTATGACCTCTGCTGCTTGAAAATAAAGATGTCTTATTTACTTCTCCATTTCCAGAATGCCATATAGTCAGCACTCAATAAATGTTGGTTGAAAAAAATCTAAGGATTAAGTGGTTAAAATAGAAAGTTTGAAACAGACTAGTCATTTTGGCACTAGAAGAGTTCAATTGTGAAATGTAGTAGAAAGATTATCAATCTGGGCTGGGGAGTGGGGGGGTGAGATAAGGCTTCAGATTCCTATCTATGCCTTGCCATTCACTGTCTATAGCCATCTTTTCCTGTCTTTTGACTCAGTGTCTCAAGCTATATATTAGTTCAACTGATTTCCTGAAAGATTATCAATCTCTCTCCAATTCGAGAGCTAATTGCTTAGAAGTTTATTATTTATCTGTCCACACTCCTATTTCCTAGAGGAATACAGAGACTATGGCAAGGAGAATAATAAAATATTTGGGTTGAGAATAAAAAATTCCAAGTCACTGTGGTAGATGAACACTGGGAAAGATATCTAAGACTCTCTCTCTCTCTCTCTCTCTCTCTCTCTCTCTCTCTCTCTCTCTCTCTCTCTCTCTCTCTCTCTCTGTCTTCTTATATATAATCTAGCCCCAGTATCCCATCAAAGCCCATGCAGAACATTCCATAAAGTGAATCTTAAGCTACAATCCATAGAGTACATACTTATTCTTTTGCAGCTTTCACACTCCAATAGATTTGTTGTCTGATTTTCTCCAGTATTAAAAAGGTAGGGGTTTTCCTGAAACTTGCTCTGAAAGCAAAGCCACCACAGCACAAGCCAGGTAAGAAAAAAAAAATGAATTAAACATATTAACAAGAAGTGTCCTGGCTGCCTGGCAAAAATTAAACTTAACAACATCTACAAAATGGTGACTAATAGAATATGTCAGTGAGTATTTAATTTGCCTGCTTTTCCTTCAATATGAAAACAGAGCACAGGTTCTTTTCTGATTCCCTTTTCACTACTTCCAAAGTTCCATAAACTTGGCCTATTTGTCCTTCCAAGGTTGAATAATGTTGGGTTGGTTAAGCCCAGAGAAATAAGTATCAGGGTTCTAGGACAGAGTGTGAAAATAAATAATATTGATAATTTTAAATTATAGCATTCGCATGATGCTTTACAGTTAAAATCCTCTTTTGCATAAATCATCTTAGTTGATTATAATAATAATAATACTTTTGTAAGCTGCAGGGCCTTTGCATGTGCTTTTCTCTTTGGGCAGTTCTTGCCACCTATTTCTTTCTAATTTTATCAATGCTTTAGATCTCAGCTCAAAGATCACTTTATCAAGGTAACCTTCCATGACTTTACTGCCCATTACAAGTCTATCAGACTCATTCCACTAGTACCTTTCTTTGTTTCTCTTATTATAATTACAATTTTACATGAGTGGGCATCAATACTTAATTATGACATCTCTATAATATAAAACTGTTCCTGAGAAGTGGCTATCCCATCTTTTCATCCTCTATAACATTTCAGGGAAGGTAAAGGTGACAATATCATCAGGTCTTACTAATGCAATATGAGCACAAGTGATACGTATCATTTCTGGGCCAAAAAAAAATTGAAAAGCAGGTGTGCTTTCTTTATCTTCTTTTTGTACTTCTGCCTGGATAGAGAGGTTTCAGAGGCCCTAGGGTAGTGGTTCTCAGACTTGACTGACTGTAAGAATCACTCAGGGACTTAAAAAATTGATACCTTTATGGTAAACCAGGCCAATTAAGTCTCTGTGCATGGAAACTCAAACATCAATATTTTTTAAGCTCTTTAGGAGATTCTAATAGGTAGCCAAAGTTTGAGAACCACTGCTTAGATATGACTTCTGGATACCTGAAATGTTGTGAAAAATTGCTCTTTGTTGAGGAGGAATATCTATATTGGGCTCTCATGTGAGCAAGAAATAAACCTGATCAAGGAAATGTGGATGATCTGTTTGTTTATATCAACTATTTTACCTTTACTAATATATTCCCAATTTTATTTCCAGAACTTACCACAGGGCTAGACATATATTAGGTGCATAATTACTATTTATTTGAGGAAGGTATTATCATATTCATCTTTACATATTAAATTCAAGTGGTTAAATAATCTACCCAAGGTTGCACAACTAGAAAGCAGAAGTCTGAATTTAAAAACAGTTCTTTGATTACAAAATGATTATATTTCCTACTCTACTATGATGTTTGACTTTGCACATGAAGACACCATAGGAATTCAGAAACACTGGTTCTCACTTTAACATTCCTCATAGGTAACAATTAGTGGGGTGTGATGGTCTCAGCATTCTGGCAGCTAATAGTGGGGATATTAAGACCCAATTAGTGACTAATGAAGGAACAGAAAGCCATTGATTGGAGTTGATTGAAGTTGGTGGGTGGTAATGCTCCTTATCTTGAGTCTTAGGTTGCCTGTTACAGGACAAAGACCTCGAACTTTTTCATGACACCAGAAACCCAATAATTAGAATATAGTGTTTTATAGTAGAAATATAAATACTTTAGCCTGGACCAAATCAAGATCTCTTCAAATAGTCTTGTTGGCTCTATTTTTTCCTGCTTCTTCAAATTTTACTTAACATGTCTACGTAAATACCACCTGCATCATATCACTTCATAACTCAAAAATATATGTTTTCCTGTCCTTTTCCCATAGAAATTTGTATTTTTAAATTAACTAATTATTATATTTTTTATTTTTTTCAATCACCATTTATTGCTCTATGACATCTTCCACCTCCACCCATTCCTCTCCACCCCTGCAATCACCATACTGTTGTCCATGTCTATGAGTTCTCTCTATCTTTCTTTTTTGCTCAATCCTTTCACACATGCCCAACCCCACCTCTGTCTGCCTGCTCTCTAACCATGATTCTCTATCTGTATTTTGCTTGGTAGTTCAGTTTGTTCATTAAATTCCACATATGAATGAAATCATATGGTACTTGCCTTTCCTTGACTGGCTTATTTCACTTGGCATAATATGCTCCAGATCCATTCATGCTAGCACAAAGGGTTAATTTTTCTTCCTTTTTATTGCACTGCAGAGTAGTATTCCATTGTATAAATGCACCACTGCTTTTTTATTCATTCATCTATTCGTGGATCCTTGGGTTTCTTCCAGATCTTAGCTATTGTAAATAACGCTCCTATAAACATAGGGGTAGTTTTATTCTTTCAAATTAGTGTTTCAGGATTCTTCTGATAAATTCCCAATAGTGGAATCACTGGGTCATAAGGAAGTTCCATTTTTAATTTTGTGAGGTAACTCCATTCTGTTTTCCATAGTGGCTGAACCAGTCTACATTATCACTAGCAGTGTACTAGGGTTCTCTTTTCTCTATATCCTTACCAAATTTTTTGTTCATTTAATAATGGTGACCATTTTGGAAAGTGTGCGATAATACCTCATTGTAGCATTAATTTATATTTCTGTGATGATTAGTGACATTTAGAATCATTTCATGTCTGTTGGCCATCTGTATATTCTCTGGGTTTATTCAGGTCCTTTGCCCATTTTTTAAAATTGCATTGTTTGTTTCTTTGGTGTTGAGTTTTTTAGGTACTTTATGAATTTTGGATATTAACTCCTTATGAGATGCATCATTGGTGAATATGTTCTTCCATTCAGTTGTTTGTATTTTCATTTTGTTGATTGTTTCCTTTGCTATGCAAAAACTCCAATAGCAATTTCACATTATTATGCCCAAACCACTTAAAAAAAAAACCTCCATAATCTGCTCCTGTTATATCCAGCCAATTTTTATCTCTGCGCCCTCTTTTACACACATTTTTCTTTGGATGGAATGCCCTTTTCATACCCTATACACAACATCTTCAAATCTTTCTTTATGTTGAGGCATGCTTTCTATTCCACTCTGCACATGTCCCATAAAAATAATCAACTATTTTTATGCTACTCTGACCCATCTAGTCTTTTTCTAGTTGTTATGCTTTGTATGTTGGTTTCATTTCTCTGGAGTAGTTTGTAAGCAACTTGGTTGGCAGACCCCCATGTAAGCTTTCTTTATTTGTGTAATGGTGATGATTGATTAGTTTCTTTACAGAGATAGTTGGCAAGGCACTCCTGAATACATTATTCTATTTGACAG